TCACATCCTGTTACCTGGCGACTCTTGCAGCTTCTTCTCGGCCTGCGTCAGTGTCTCCAGCGTCCCCTCCAGCAGCTCCCGCTGCTTGCCCAGCACGGTGAAGCCGTTCCACATGTACATCATCTCCTGGGGAGGGACGGGGGGGTCAGGCTGCTCACCCCGCAGAGGAGGATCTGGACCCGCAGGACAGCCCCCACATCCCCCGCTGGACAGTACCTAACCTGTCCTCGATTCCCTCCCAGTGCCCCCAGCCCCCCTCGCCCTGAGCAGGTTCTAGCCGCTTGCACTCAGAGCCAATGGGAAGTGGGAGAAACTGAGGCACAGAGAGGGGCACGACCCATCCAAGGTCACGTGGCAAAGACAGGAAATGAGACCCAGCATTCCTGACTCCCAGCCCCCTGGCTCTAACCACCAGACCCCACTCCCCTCTCCGAGCCAGGGAGAGAACCCAGGCGTCCCGACTCCCAGCCCCTCCCATTCCCCAGCACGGCAGATCCCGGGTGATGGCACCAGTTGAGTCACGGCTTTTCCAAGCAGCATCCAGCACAACGTCCCCCCTCGAACCCTCTCCCCCACACTCCCTTCCCCCTCACCAGGGCTGGCACCGGCAAAGGGACCGGGCGGCTGCCCTTATAACGCCGGGCTTTCCGGATGGCAAACTTCTCCGTGGGGGGAGACTTGCCTGCGATCTTCTGCTTAAAAGATGACACCTGCCTGAGGGGAAGAGAGACAGCTGGGCTGTGATCTGCGGGGGGGCGCCCTGGGGGTCCCCTGGACCCAGGATTGGGTTCCAGAATCTCCACAGGCATCGAAAGCGAAGATCCCAGTTCTAGCCGACCCGTTTGCCAAAAAACAGCCCAGCAACACGTGCCTGAGTCTGCAGGCAGCCTGAAACGATGGCTCGGAGAGTGCCTGGTTCAGCTCCCAGCCTGTTAACTCTGGAACCTAATGCTTGCACATAGGTATTGGCAATACAAATGTGCGGCAGCTCAAACTATGATGAGAGCAAAAACCAGGTCCAGCTGGTATTGACACAGATGACCCAGGCAGATCCAGCTCTCAGGCTGTGAATGATCTAATTTAATTTAACACGACCCCAGTGTTTAGATCTGCCGGAAGCCAGCACCACGTTTCCAGCTGAGACTGCAAAATTTACCTCCACAGAACATGAACCCTCCCAGAGCGGGGAGAGAACCCAGGAGTCCTGGCTCCTAGCCCCCCCTAACCACTAGACCCCCCCCCTCCCAGAGTGGGGAGAGAACCCAGGAGTCCTGGCTGCCAGCCCTCCACTCTAACCACTAGACCCCACTCCCCTCCCAGAGCTGGGGAGAGAACCCAGGAGTCCTGTCCTACGCCCACGTCCGTCTTGTCTCTGTAGGTAGCCCCTGCCACTCCCCTACACACTTTGCAGCTGGGATAGGAGGGGAGAGGAAGTGGTAAGATTTGGGGGCCCTGAGCCAGCCAATCGCCAGGGCTGGATGTGGGAGAGAGCCGAGCAGGCAGGTAGAAAGGGAATGACCAGTGCAGTATGTTAGGTTGAGGAGCAGAAAGGGGGACATGCAGCTTCCCATTTGGGGTCAGTGTTATTGGGCAAGTGACTGGGGGTTGGGACACACACAGCCCTGCCGGTGCCCCTCACTCCCGACCCGCAGCCCCCTGCTCTCCCCCA